GGGAAGAGACTGGACAAAAATCGTGCACCTATGGATGAGGACAGTGGGTGGGGAGTGAGGGCGGAGGGTGGGGTGAGAGCTGGAAGGAGGGGAGTTATGGGGGGGGAAAAAAGAGGAACAAATGTAATAATCTGAACAATAAGAACAATACTGCTTGCAAGAATAACATCCTTTGTCATGCTGGCATTCTTTGGATGATGTCCAATTTTAAAATCACATTTCCCCTGAAAGGTCAGAGCAGTAAAGTAAGGGAAAGACAAGATTACCTTGTTAATACACGAGGACAAGCTGTAATGAAATAAAAAACAACCAAAGGGAGATCCATAAAATCTCTCTGGTCTTGTTTTGGAAGCTCTCAAGCATAAAACATCAGCCATCAATTCTGAAGGGGATGCTAAACAAACAGCAACAAATCTGGGCTTTTAATAAGGATTGTGCAAAGTGCCTTCAGATGCCTAAGATTCCTGCCTGCAATACTTACAAAATTAGCTTTGACATGAGGGCAATAAATACTACCAGCATTTCAAAGATCAAAGAACAAATACCACCAGCAGTGAGATCCAAGGGAGAGGGAGAACAGCCTAGGAGGCCATTTTCGTAGCAGTTCTGCAATTGCTTAAGATATTTTTTTATATGTTTTTATTTATTTCAGAGAGGAAGGGAGAGGGAGATGGAAACATCAATGATGAGAGAGAATGATCCATAGCTGCCTGCAACCTGGGCATGTGCCCTGACTGAGCTCAATCATTGAGCAACACTGGCCAAGCCTTAATAACATCTCGATCCTTCCCTCACCTTGTCCTTTCTCCTCTTTTCCTTTTTCCTTCTCCTTCATTCCTTCCTGTCTTCCTTCCTTTAAATGGGCACCTACAATGTATTAGGGACTGGAAAAGATTATTTGCCCTCAAGAAGCTCTTGGTCTTATATAGGAAAGACATAAAATGAGCATTTATAAAACAAGGTAGGCATGAAGCAGTCACTGTGTAGAACAGTGGTTCTCAACCTTCCTAATGCCACGACCCTTTAATACAGTTCCTCATGTTGTGGTGACCCCCAATTTCATTGTTACAAACTGAACATAATTAACGCATAGTGATTAATCACAAAAACAACATGTAATTATATATGTGTTTTCCAATGGTCTTAGGCGACCTCTGTGAAAGGGTCGTTTGACCCCCAAAGGGGTCGCGACCCACAGGTTGAGAACCGCTGGTGTAGAAACTTGGCTTTTCAGTTGTTAAACAACTACACTAAACTACACTGCAGGTGTCTGTTTGTAACCTAGCACTAAAGAGTTGGGGATCTAAATTGTCTTTGACTTTTCTCTCCCATGTTTAACTTATTGCAATTATCATCAGAAGACTGATTGACTTATCACATAAATTAAACTCACTGTTGCTCTAGGAAAAGAGAAGTTGACTAAAACCAAACTATCCCGGTGTCCACTACTCTTCAAAACTGGACCCCTTGGAGGCAAGTCATGCCTCGTCAGGCAGTGCTGATTAAACCCAGAAAGGCAAAAGCCTTAATGCTGTAATTCTTCACCACAAGAAGCTTAAGAGTGTAGGCCAGGAGTCCCCAGTCCTGACTCACATTAGAATCACCTAGGAGCTTTGGAAACCATTCTGATCCTGGGCCCCACTCTAATCCTGAATTTTTAGTTTACCACCTGGAAGAAGTTCCTCAGGACATTCTAATGTGCAGCCAGAGAGGAGAATTACTGATCTAGGTTTTTCATAAATTATTTTAAAACTAGAGGACTGGTGCACAAAATTCATGCATGGGGTGTCCGGGGGTGGGGGGTGTCCCTCAGCCCAGCCTGCACCCTCTCCAATCTGGGACCCCTCAAGGGATGTCCGACTGCCTGTTTTAAACGGGCAGTCAGACATCCCTCTCACAATCCAGGACTGCTGGCTCCCAACCGCGCACCTACCTGCCTGCCCTCCTGCCTGCCTGATTGCCCCTAACCACTTCTGCCGGCCAGCCTGATTACTCCCTAACCACTCCCCTGCCAGCCTGATCGACGCCTAACTGCTCCCCTGCCAGCCCGAATGCCCCTAGCTGCCAACCTGGTCACCCCTAACTGCTCTCCCCTTCCGGCCTGGTCCCCCCCCCAACTGCCCTCCCCTGCTGGCCCAGTCACCCTAACTACCCTCCCCTGCAGGCCCTGTTCCCCCCCGCCCCGTTGCTCTCCCCTGCAGGCCTGGTTGCCCCCAACTGCCCTCCCCTGCTGGTCTGATCGCCCACAACTGCCCTCCTCTGCTGGCCATCTTGTGTCCACATGGGGGTGGCCATCTTGTCTGTTAGAATGATGGTCAATTTGCATATCACCTCTTTATTATATAGGATGTGCAGATCACATAAGACTTCAACACAGTATGAAAAGTTTAATCTGTTTTGGTCCATTTTTTGGTAACAGCCCTAAAGAAAATTATTATAATGCAAATTCACAAATAATTCACAATTTAGTATATTCTCCAGTGGAAGTAACCCGCCTCCAATCCACAATTCAAAATAGAAACAATGAGTCTTCCACTTACCTGATGAACTTGACAGCCTTGCTTTGTGTCAAACTTAAATACCCTTGTGTTTTCAATTTCCTTTTGTTACCAGTAAACTCAAATTTTTTCTTTAGATTCCTATTACTTTCTTAATAATTTATTCTTGATGTTTTAGGAAAAAATTAGCTATGGACCAAACACTGACCAGCTTTGTTTGCTGAAATTTGAATGCACCTGGTGCACTGTCAGCCTTACACCATACACAAAAATCAACACTGGAGAGTTTTATTAAAAAACAAGCCTCTTGCAGTTTAACAAAACTCATATAACAATATTATAACCACAAAACCAGCATAAACTGGCCTTGTTCTGTTCCTAATGAGATACTAAGTTGTTTTTCTTTTTTTTTCTTTTTTTTAAAATATATTTTTATTGATTTTTTACAGAGAGGAAGGGAGAGAGATAGAGAGTTAGAAACATCGATGAGAGAGAAACATCGATCAGCTGCCTCCTGCACATCTCCTACTAGGGATGTGCCCGAAACCCAGGTACATGCCCTTGACCGGAATCGAACCTGAGACCTTTCAGTCCGCAGGCTGACGCTCTATCCACTGAGCCAAACCGGTTTCGGCCTAAGTTGTTTTTCAGAGTTAGCAGAATAAGACTGCAGACCATGTACTGGAACAGTAGGACAACACACTAGAGAAAAAATTTACCCTAAAATAACTTTTCAAAGTCACCGGGTCAAAATCCACTGTGGACTACAAACCCTTACCCGCAAATTCAAACATTCAATGCACGAAAAGCTGTGATTCCCAAGCACCTGCGTCCTAGGCTGTTATTATGTTAAATCAATGTAACTCTCTAAATATGCAAAAATCCCCCTGCTCCTTCCTTTAACTGTAGCCCAAAAACCCTCATCAGGGAGACAGATCTGAGCTCACCTCCAGTCTCATGGCTGGTGGACCTCACAATTAAAGCCTTTTCTTTTCTCAAAAGATGACGTCACAGTATTGGCTCCTATGCATGTGGGACAGTAGCTCTTGCTCAGTAACAATATTGTACATTTCCTTTTCTACCAATATCACTTGTTAAATTACTATCATCTTTTATAGACAGGGAAAAGTGGTCATACCTTAAAATCTTTCTGACAAATATATCGCTGCGCTGCATCCAGCCTGGATAACCTTCTTCAAAATGGCATATGCTGGAGCCTGTTAAAGACAATAAGCAGACAAAAGAAACACATTCTATGTTCACTTTTTAAAAATATATATATTTTTTTAATTGATTTCAGAGAGGAACTGCCTCCTGCATGCCCCACACTGGGGATTGAGTCCGCAACCCAGGCACATGTCCTGACTGGGAATCAAACCATGACCCCCTGGTTTACAGGTCGATGCTCAACCACTGAGCCACGCCGGTTGGGCTATGTTCACTTTTACTTGTGAGATCTGCCTGGCAGAACTGAGACTTCTCTGGATAAGAAAGAAGATCTAAGAGATAATCCGTTTTAATTTGGGGGGGTGAACTATTCAAAAGATTAGAATGCCTCTGCCACTGCCAAAGCATTGAGTCATCTGGTTTCTCACTGGAAAGGGAAAAGGAGCTGCCAGGGAAAATGATAAGGAGGAAGCAAGAAGATTCCCAATTGGGAGCTTGCTCTTGGTCAAAGCAGTGTATTCGTTTTCTTCCTTTGGCAGTCACTTTGAAATCTATTTTTTGGGAACCGAAACCTTCCCACCCCTCAGCCTTCCAAATAAGGTAACCAAAGCACCACAAGCAACAGTAAAGGTAGGTCCTCACCAGTTCTGCATCATGTTCCAGGCCTATGTCATGGTGCTCAAGCTCTTCATCCCTAAATTTCTTTATCACCTGGTTAAATAAAAAGAAATAGAAGCAAGTCAGCATTCCAACTCTCCGGGTGAGACTAAAAACTCATATTATTATCTAAGACAGGGGTAAGTAAACTTTTCCTATAAAGAGACAGAAGCAATACTTTAAGCTTTGTATGGTCCCTATCATATCTACTCAACTCTGCCATTGTAGAGGGGACAGCAGCCATGGACATGTGAACAAGTGGATGTAGCTGTGTTCCAACAAAACTTTATTTATAGAAACAGGTGGTCAGTCACAGGCCGTAGTTTACCAACCCAATTTAGGCTTTAAAAAAAGCTAGGGCTGCCCTAGCCGGTTTGGCTCAGTGGATAGAGCATTGGCCTGCGGACTGAAGGATCCCAGGTTCGATTCCAGTCAAGGGCACATGCCTGGGTTGCAGGCTCAATCCCCAGTAGGGGGTATGCAGGAGGCAGCCAATTAATGATTCTCTCTCATCACTGATGTTTCTATCTCTCTCTCTCCCTTTTCCCTTTCTCTCTGAAATCAATAAAAATATTTTAAAAAAATAAAATAAATTTAAAAAGCCAGACCTATATCTGTTCCCTTACCTGCTGTGGAAAATTATCTGAGAGTATCTTTCATTTTATTTTTTAAAGATTTAAAAAATTGATTGTTATTTAAAATCTGAGGGTATCTTTTAGTTCATTTATTTAATCTGAAGGGTTTGTGCTAACAGCATTTGCTCAGGACCTACCAATAATCCAGAAATGGGGAGAATACAGGTCCGGGCTCAGAAAACATGGGGTTCTGGTGTCTGCCCAAGCACGTGACCAGGGCACACAGCTTCAGCTCTCAGTACCTTAGTTTGCTTGCCTTTAAAATGAGGTGCTGACCTAGATTTCTAAGGTCCCACCATTTCCTAACATTCTATTTTTCTTCTTCTTACCAAACTGCATGTCTGCCCCTTTCCCCCTTTATCAGCCCCTTTCAGAGTGTAGTCAAATACCTGAAGAAGCTCCTCATATTTTTCAGGATCCTCCTCCATCAATGTCCTGATCTGGTTGTTGTAGTGATGTGCTATGGACTCTTCCACGGCCACAGTGCAGGCCATCGCTCCTTCCCTCCCAAGCAGGGCGGTTCCTGCGCCTGGAATTGTCAAATCCAGAGCAGTCAAGGATGGGACTGACTCCACTGCTGAAGGAGAACATTACAAACTCTGGGGCTGGATAACCAATCCCTTGTTGTGAGGGCTGTCCTGTGCATCGTGGTATGTTTAGCACCATCCCTGGCCTCTACCACAAGATGCTGGTAGCATTCCCAGATATGACACCAAAAATGTCTTTAGGTATTCCAAGTGTCCTCAAGAGCAATTTGACCCCATTGAAAACCACTGTTTAGGGGGTGCCAGGTTAAACCTTGACTAATGCAATAAGAAGGCTATTCTCTTTCAATGATCTCCCTAACCTGATTATGGCAAGGAGAAAGTCGTCATTTGGGGTATGTCTTTGATTCTCCTATACCATTTACTTTTCTCCCTTGTTAAGAGTGAGCAGCTTTGCCAGGAAACATTATCTGGCTACAATTGAACTAGTCTAGCTTTGTTTCCCCCCCTGTTGTATCTATTTTTACTGTACCTTTTATTTATAAAACTACTGATTTTGAGAGTCTATCTTAAATAAATTTAAGCCAAAAAAAAAAAAGATCAGCCAATTTAACTTTAGAAAAATATTAAGTAAAAAAAAAAAGGCCATAGAAGGACACAGCAAGAATTGTGAAGTGGCACTTAAAGGATATGTTCATCTCAGACCTTTCAGCTCCCATAAGCTCTTCTGGACAGACACGCACCTAACGCAAACCCCACCACGTTCCAAAAGGGCATCAGAATCGTCGGCCGGACCCTGAATGCAACCATCAGTTCATTGAACTTTTTCAAGTGGTCCTTTTCTTGATCCCACATTTTCTGTAAGAAACATAACAATAAAAACATGTAGGCATCCCATATAGGCCACCGCTGTATCCCAAGGAAGCTACATGCCCTATCCATGATCCATGATTCTGGCAGAAGCCCTCAGACCCACAAAGTGCCTAAAGCAGTGGTTCTCAACCTTCTGGCCCTTTAAATACAGTTCCTCATGTTGTGACCCAACCATAAAATTATTTTCGTTGCTACTTCATAACTGTAATGTTGCCACTGTTATGAATTGTAATGTAAATATCTGATATGCAGGATGGTCTCAGGCGACCCCTGTGATAGGGTCGTTCGACCGCCAAAGGGGTCACGACCCACAGGTTGAGAACTGCTGGCCTAAAGGATGAGGAGCCATACTCATAAGAAATGAGATGTTTAGCTCATTTAAAATTAGGAGGGCAGAATATTAGGTATCGTTTAATTTCCTTCCAGATTGCTAGTATATAAGTATCATGTATATCAGAGAAGAAAGGGTGGATGATAATAGCAGCTAACACATAGCACTTCCTAACTGCCAGGCACTCTATCAAATAGCTTAATGTAGGCAACTCATTTAAGCTGTACAACTGCTTTGTGAAGGACAAACCATTATTATCCCCATTATACAGATGAGGAAAGTGAGGCACAGAGAGGTTAAGTAACTTGCCTGAGGACTCAGAAAAGGCAATTTAACTTATGCTGAGTGTCTGTTACATGCCAGGCATGGTATCAGCTGCTCTATACCAGCCATTTATTCCTCACCAAAACCCAATGCGGTAGGTGTTATCAGCCCATTCTGCAGGTATGGAAGTGAAGACCTAGAGTTTATGTGACTTCCCCAAGGTCACACAGTAGCAGGTGGGAGAGAGTTGAAATGTGAAGCTGGGTCTGTGTGAGTACAAAGCCAAGGTCTCTCCTTTTGCTTCTCAGTATAAAATATCTCCGCTGGGCTCCAATGGGGGCCGGAGTGCAAACTCTCAGCAACTGGTACTTTTACCTAAAGGTGTTTCTCAACCCTTTTTTCTTTTCTTTTTTTTAAAAAATATTTTTTATTGATTTCAGAGAGGAAGAGAGAGGGAGAGACAGAAACATCAATGATGAGAGAGAATCATTGATTGGCTGCCTCATGCATGCCCCCTACTAGGGATCGAGCCCAGTGCACGGATTCGTCCAGGGCATGTCCGGCCCGCCCCAATCGGCCGGATCCCAGCAGCAAGCTAACCTACCAGTCAGAGTGTCTGCCCCCTGGTGATCAGTGTGCATCACAGCGACTGGTCAAACAGTTGAACGACCGGTCAGACACTTAGCATATTAGGCTTTTATTATATAGGATGTCCATCTGTGCTCTATACACAGAAAGAATAATATCCTTTTCACTCTTCTCTCCCCAATATCCAATTTTTACTCATTTGGGGAAAAGGGTATGTCCCCTAAGAATACATGACCTAATATGATTCATTACTTGAAGGCCTTTGGGTCCCCACCCCCGTAAGCCCTGTTCAGTAGACCAGGCTGAGAGATATAAAGCAGCGCCCACCTGAATGACTGGCCCGACACTTGTGCGACCCAGGACAGCCATCTGCCCTGCATAGATGCGGTTTGCTCCATATTCACCTGCATGATCCACACGGATAATTCGATCCACAGCTGCCCAATTGATATTGTCTAAAGTCATTCTTGAGCTGCAAAATCTGACACTGATTCTTCTTCCATAAGCTGCAATGCAAGTGTTTATTCTTCATTACTCTCAAGTAAAATTGAGATGTTTCCTTTTACAGACAGAAGAAAGGGGCACCTTAGAACAAAGGTAACAAGTGAGTTCCCCTAGGTTGACATGCCCTAAGTGTATTGTTTATCCTGCAGTATTGATTTTTAAAAGAAGCGAATGTTACCTACACTTAAAAGACTTTAGCTAAATATCTGGATTTCTGGTTTAAGTGTATGAAGATAGGGAAATGCTGAGTCTGACTTCTCTTAAGGCAGTTGATGTGGCAGCTGGCTCTAGATAGGCACGGTTCTCTAGTTCACTCACCCCTCCAGGCCCACTTCGTTCCCAACCCTGACTACCCAGAACCTTCTAGGGAGCTTTCAAAACCATGAATGCTCCTCCCCAATTGACTTCTGGAAGGAGACACTGATATTTTGAAAAAGCTCTGTACACGAATCTTCTCTGCAGCCAAGGTTGAGAACCATAGATTTAAATTCTCTTAAAATACCCATATCCATGAGCATCTGATTTTGAGAAATAAGCCTTAGAACTTAGGTTTCATCTCATTATGGTACAGATCCAATTCAACTGAATTATTCTTGCCTTCAAAATGTAAATTCTTCAGGACAGATTAGATATTGTTTTTAAAAATTTGCTAATAGTGACACTTGGATTTGTATTCTGAGCCTCATATGGTGGCATCCCAAAAGTTTTTTTCCCTGAGAAGAGTTTTGTAATGTGTTTAGGTACGTAAGCTGTTTTCAGTCCATTTTGCAGATATGGAAATGGAGACCCAGAGAAAATATTTAAAGTGAACTTTAACCTGTATTGGTATCACCTTGAGATGTGTTCCAAGCCTTAGGTATGACAACCATGTCTTCTGTGCCTTCTGACAATGGGTCAATGTTAACTGTGGCCATATTTTTATGTGGAGAACAATTTTAGACATTTGATAAAGTCAAGGTAGCCTCTTGCAAGTTTCTGCCTCCTAGTCCAAAGACTGGTGCTTGCATCAATCTGACCTTCTTATAGAAAGTCTAGAGGCCTGATGCACGAAATTCATGCAAGGGACTTGGCCCTCACAGCCCCGGCTGCCTCACGGCCACATGGCCCCACCCACTGGTCCTTCTAGACGGTCGTTCTGCTGCCCGGTCTAACTAGCATATTAGCTCTTTATTATATAGGACTAGAGGCCCGGTGCACAAAAATTTGTGCACTGGGGGGGGAAGGGGGGGGTCCCCTCAGCCCGGCCTATGCCCTCTCGCAGTCTGGGACCCCTCGGGAGATAACGACTTGCTGGCTTAGGCCTGCTCCTGGGTGGCAGAGGGCAGGCCCAATCCCTAGGTGCAGCCCCTGGTCGGGCTCAGAGCAGGGCTGATTGGGGAGTTGGGGCGCCGCCCCCTGTCATGCACAGAGCAGGGCGGAT